CTCTCTCTCTCTCTCTCACACAAACACACACACACATACCCACACACACCACCCTGGGAACTGGACTCCTTCAGCGAGCCCTGAGCACCCATGGCGCTTCCAGATCCAAAGCAAGTAGAATAAGCACTTGTCTCAGCTCTCCCTCCTCAGTCCTGACTAGTCCCTGGCCCAGGGATCTGGTCTTGTAGGAGGGGCCTAGTGTCCCATTTTGAACCAATTCTAAGTCCCTTTTGGGGAACAGGCAGGGGTTTTGCCACATATCCTCAACAGGAAGCCACTAGATACCTCCATCTGACCGCTCCGTGGATCTCCTCCCATCATATCTCCTTCAGACAGTCCCTCCTGCTGTTGCCAAGAGCTGCCTCCCAGCTCCCCACCCCCAGCGGAAAAGGGTTTTGCCAAATCCTGGCTCCCTGCTGTCCCCGACTGCCTCTTCTTTTTGCGATGATCCAACTGCTTTGTACCTAGGTCATGAACTTTGACAAACTTCACTTGCTGACTCTTCAGAAATATTGCTTTAATTATTCTCAACGGGCTGATACACCTTTGGTCTATAGTAGGATAAAGAAACCAATCTTTGGTCTGAGCTATAATGAGTAATACTCAGAATAAAGCTTGGCCTACGACTAAATTAGATACAAACTATAGCTTCTCATCAGTTTTTAAAAATATCTCAAATTTATTTTTATTTTCCATTCTGAATCTATCAATCTCTATACAACCGAATATTAGTATAGTGTTGAAGAGTAAAGATTTGGGATCCTGACTTTGCCACCTACTCCCTGTACGACCTTGAGCAAGTTTCTTTACTCCATGTAGCATCCTTTGCCTCAGCAGAGGGAGGATGACAATGCCCAGCTGAGGGGGACATGTGAGTATTAACAGACACTGCAGGGAAGCCCCTGGGCCAGGTCTGACACCGAGTACTCCATAGAGGGCAGCAGCTCTTCTTTCAGTCCTAGCTTCCTCTGTAGAAGGATAATTACTGGGAGCAAACAGATAATTATAGCACTATAATATTCCTTTTAAAATCAGTAGGGAACTCCAAGTGTCTCACTAGGTAGATAGAAGCTATCTGGTAAAATCCAATCGCTAAACTCTTCCTTAAAGAAAACAGGCCTCTTTTGTCATTAAAAGATTTCATGGAAAACTTAATCCATTTTCTATGGAAACACAGATCTTGTTTATGCTAAAGGTGCTTTTTTTTTTTTTTTTACATTAAAAAAATAGCAAGCAGTTTATAAAGCTATTGCATACAAGAGGAAAGACTCCTTCATGGCCACTCATATCATGTAAAGGCAGGGGAAGGAGGGACTCCAAGGTTGGGAGGAAAACCTCCAAAATGCCCCTTGGGCCTCCCTCTTACATCTTTACTATGATGGCCAAAGGAAAATAAAAATAGGGGCAAAGAGTATTGCTCTTGGAAATTCAAGCACATCTCTCGATGTGTATCCAAATCCAGAGACCTTAAAATACTTCATGTACCACAGCAAGAAAAAAGGGCAGTACAAAGAGGTTATGTGCATATATGCATGACCCGTGGACAGACAAGAG